TTTCTTTCTTTATGCATTATTATATTATTATTTAATTATATTATTATTATTATTATTATTATTATTATTATTATTATTATTATTATTATTATTATTATTATTATTATTATTATTATTATTATTATTATTATTATTATTATTATTATTATTATTATTATTAGGTCGCAACGAAAGTCCTGGCGGATTTCTTCAAAGTCCTGACAAACGGCTGCGCATTAACCTGGAGGGGAAATTTTTAACCATATACAGGAATGGTAACATCCCTTCATATTTCCGAGTCTCACCTCCTGCAGGCCTTTTGGAGCCTGGAAAATGCCATAAGTTTCTACCCATGTACGCCACTGACTTCTTTGCGAATTTTGTATGGGACACACAGCGAGCGAAGCCTGCCGCAAAATATGCTCTGTGGAAGTAGGGGGAGTGGTAAGTGAAAAAACCTGCCAACTTTGGTTCAGAAGGCTCCGCGAAGGAAACTACAACCTCGAAGATGGACGCCCAACGAAAGTTAATTTCGAACGTTTGGAGCTGTTACTTCAAGACTTTCCGCATGCAAGCGCCATGGAGCTGGCAAAGGAGATGCACTGCTTCAACATGGCCACAGGTCGTGTTCATCACATGCTGGAAAAAGTTGAGAAACTTGGTCGATTGATCCCTCATGAGCTGACAGAGCATTGCAAGAAAAGAGGTATCGGGGTGTGCGGAGGTTTTCTTGCAAGGAGTCGCCGTTTCGACTGGTTGGATAATGTAATTACTGGAGACGAAAGGTGGGGGCTCTACCTATGTCATACCAGAAGAAGACAGTGAATGGGTGCGAACCAGAAGCCAGAGCCTGTTCCAAAGCAGGAGGTTCATCCCAAGAAAGTTCCTCTGTCAGTTTGGTGGAGAGTTCGGGGAACACGTCATTACGAGATGCCAGACAATACCATCGTCGACGCCGAGGTGTACTGCTCACAACCACGAAGGCTCGCAGTTGAAGTCGCGAAACTTCGCCCTGAGATGGACGAAGTTTTTCTTCTTCATGACAACGCGTGACCCCATGTTGCAAGGGTAACCCAGGACACATTGGCGGAACTTGGATCTGCGGTTTTACCCCATCCTCCATATTCGCCAGGTCTTGCGCCTACGGATTACCACCCACTCCTTTCCCTGGCTCACTTCTCAAGCACAGCCAAGAAAAACAGACCTCCGTACGACACTATTAACCTAGTTAAAGCGGACATGGGCACTTCTTCGAGTTATTCGAAGCCTGCCGAATTTTGAAGGAGAGGCATTTGTTTCCTTGTCGACCGATGGCGGACTGGTGTAAGTGCTTGTGGGAATTATTATTAGGAATAAAGTTCAATTCAAAGAAAGATACGAGTTTTTGAAATTGAGGGTCGAATCCGCCATTACTTTCGTTGCGACCTGATATTTACGTCGACGTGATTTAAATCCACGTCACAATAGCCCTAAAAACGATAGGAACAGCAATTTTCAACAACAGCATCGTATTGCGAGACAATTATTGGTAACAAAAGGTTCGGTCTCTTTTTAGCCTGTGCCAAACTTGTATGCTAACTTGACCCCTCACAAGGAAATTCTTCAGGTAGTACCGAACTGTGTGACAGATACAGAGAAAAACAAATAGACAGTCGCGGTGTCATCCATAGTAGGGATCAGAGTACGAAGCGGACGGAACGTTATCATTGGGCTATATGTGATTTTAGGGGTAAAAGCTGTATTTTGAGCGACCAAATGCTACCCTCGCATATTTTAGATCTGCCGACGTTCAGATTAGCTCGTCGAGGTATGCTCGACAAGGGATCAAAGTGACGGCTTCCGTGAATGGAGCGCCATAAGAGGGGGGCAGAATACGAAGGGTGCTGCGTTGGCTCTTGCGGTCATCCCAATGCAAACTATTCTTCAAGAAGGTCCTAATATCTTCACCAACTCTGCCCACTGAACGCTTACCGTCGCGAAGGGCTCTGGCTTTCTAGGACGGCTCCAGAAGCGGAAAAAAAATAAGAAGAGGGTAACGAGGGAAAAAAATCGAAGCTCCGTAGTGGGCCGAATGTGATCGGGTTGGGCGCGGATAAAATCGAAAATCCATAAGGTAGCGAAACAGAAGCGTATAGGCGTAAAGGTGCATATGAACTATTGAAGGAAGGAGAGCTGAAGTGTACATAGCAATGACAAGTAGCAACTGCATTGGCGGCGTTGATACTATTTCGGACCTACCGGTTGCTCCGGTCCGTGTCGCTGAAGTTGTGTGGTTGTGTGTTACGCGCACATCAAGATGCCGATCTAAGCTGTCATGATAATTGGCAAGAAAGCTACGTAGCGCGTTGCATGAAACTGAAACTATCATGCGCTCCGTCTTTCCTACCAACAATTCACTACACGTCTTCGCACAAGAAGGCAAAGGATACGAATACGAGTGGCGCCAAATTCGATGAATTTCGTGACCATGAAAAAACATAGCAGTTGTCCAGCAGAATTAACCAGAGCTATAAACACAACAGGTCGCTCCGGAATAAAGTTTATATGTACATATTTATAGACATATTTGCTATGGTAGTATGGAGATCAGTCAATCACATGCGATACTTGACTCCGTCCGGATATTTCATGTATTCACCGCACTTCAGTTCGCGGATTTTCAGCGGGACAAGTCGCCGATAGAAGATCAGCCACAACAGCAGTGTAGCGCCCAGTGTACCCAACTGAAAAACATTTTTTCTCGAACAGAATGATTGTCGCATTAGCTTCATTTTCAGAGTAACAGGTTCTTCAAGGTGGAGTTCACGATGAAAAGGAAGCCTAATAGAAATCGAGGTAAAGGTGGTCTGTGATGCAGGAATGAAGGAAAAGACAAACGATCTATGACCCGGGGAATGAGACCCCTTCTTGCCCGTTGATTGGCGCGTTAGGCGTGTCTCATCGGTACTCACCTCATCAGCGCAAACGCTCTCTCTGCTAAAACGGCTACACTCAAACGAGGAGGGGTGAAAGTGGCAAGAAGAAATGGAAGTGGCATGGGAACGGCCCTAGTAGGCCGCTGGGACAACCTACGCTGCGAAACCCATCATCATTCAACACCCTTTAGGTCAGTCTGCCTTCCGACTAGCTATGTTTTCGCTTTTCCGGCCTCCGACTTAAAGGACGAATTCACGATGAAAAAGCAACCCATTTCAAATTAACCTAGGGATGGTGAGTACACGAAAGAAGGAAGAACCATGAGAAACGGCCCAGAACCCGAGAAATGGACCCCTTCCTTGCCCGTTGATTTGAGCATTGATGCGACTCTCATCGCTGTGCCCTCTTCAACACTACGCTCTCTCAGCTATCTAATCACTCGCCACGTATTGAACTACGGCGAGTGATCAGATGATCGGTGGGCGGAGATCGCCGGACCCGCCAGCTTTGAGGCATGATAGGTCGCCGAGGTCAAATTTTTCCATGCGAATTGCGCGTCAGTTCGCACCCTCAGGAGGTCCGTGGGTCCCTCAACTAGGTCAGTTTCCCTTTCTCGACCTCGACCTTCATTCTAATCGTGAACTTCCTCCTCAAACTTGGAATAGTGCTGCTTTAGAGGAAGCGATTACGATCAATTGGGAGCGCATCGAGTAAGACTGCATATCGCCATTCTCAAGCCATGTAGCCTGACTTGCAAAAACGAAGTGTTGCGCATTCACGGCAGAAGTTGCGCTGCTTGCTGAACAGTACTTGAAAGCCGCTCCGCCCCTTATTCGGTCCACCCACTAATTTGGTTGGTGATTTGGGCAAACTTGTTGCCAGCGGCACAATTGGCCTTGAGCATGGTTTAGGGTGGTGCCATCCAGCTCTCTGCGGTAAATAATCACATATCGCCCGCCGCCTTACCCGCTGGCGCCCTTTGAGCAAAAAGCAACGGCTGAACAAAGGGGTCATTCGCGTTTTCTGCCAGAATTCTTTGTTTTTTGTCACTGGCGTACCACTAACCATGCCCACGTCCCCTCTAACCCTTGTAGAAGCAGTCGTAATCGCTGTTTTCAAGTGAGCTGTACGATATTTGTTGCAAAAAGCTGTTCCTATATTTTTTAGTTGAATTGAAAGCAAGTGAGTAAGAGTTAAATGTTTGCACAATATTGTCTAAAGCTCGGCGTACCTCTATGCCCCATACAGGAAGAGGACCGTGAACTTGAAATAACCAAGACACTAGTAGTGGTCCGAGAGTACGAGCTAGACTTCCGGACATCAACATGATCCCTTGCATGGTTCCCTAGAAATTGTGAATTGTAATACTCCGATTTGCAATTCAACAGAGCTTCTCGAGACGAGCTGTCCCAGATTATATCGTGTCTTTTTTATTTTCATTCGAATCATAAAAAGCCCTTCTGCGCCTAGTACAGTATTTTTGCCCATTGTACAGTCCATATCTCAGAGTCTGATTGTGCGTGTCATCGGAAATGACGTGGCAGCCACCGCACTTGATAGATGTCGTGATAAGCTGTTGATAACATACTCCGCCAGATATCAGCAAAGCGTGTTGGAAGCAGCTTATCCGCGCAACTTCTATCAAGTGCGGTGGCTGCCACGTCATTTCCGGTGACACGCCCAATCAGACTTCAAGATATGAACTGTACTTGGAGCGGTTTAGGTGACCGTAAAAAATTGTGCTGCCACTTCACAAACAAAAAGACGGCGAGTGTTGGTGAAGTGGAGGAACGAGAATAGGTAAATGTCTTCTTATCTTGAATTCCACAAAAACTTAGATCTGATGCAGAAATAGGGTCAACCGTTTCGTCTTCACTTTTCCATGTATCAACAACATCTCCCTTTGGGGAGTCTCGAGACGATTTTCTCTCAGTGAGCACTGGAGCGCGTTTGCTGCTCTCAAATACGAATAAGAAAGAAGAAATTGCGTTTCGCAGTTAAAACGAGCATTACTTTCTTCATTTTCAACTATTCGCAGGGCTCAGATAGATTCGAAAATGCTGTGCATCGGCTTTTCAGCAGCTACTACTTTACCTTGAATGTTGAGAACTGATAGCGTGGAGCGAAAAATGAAAATTTCAAGAATTGCTCACGTTTGCCTTCAACGACAAAGCGGTAAGCGTATCCAGGAAGCTCAAACTTTTTTCTTTCAGAAGAATATCAAATCCTCTTAGGAGGCTATTTTGGATAAGATTAGTTTTGTGCTTATATGTGCTTCAGCGCACATGTTAGTTTCCAGCATTCGAGTTATGATAATTTCCCGAAATTGATATTTTGGAAACCTGAAGCTTGTCTAACAAACTAAAAAATTTAGCTTTTCAACTACACACTTAGTGAGAAATAGCAGTGTGGTCGAAAAATAATCTCGTTCGCACCTTCTTAGAAGATGGTTTTACGCTTTTTTTTCTTGGACAGTCGCGGGGCTTTCAACTTCCAATGACCACTACCTTTTACAAAACTGATATCTTCGAAAAGCTGAAGCTAGCACGATGGACTAGAAGTTGAGGCTTTCGAAGTGCACTCAATCTAGTCACAAATAGTCCCGCTCCCACATTGAAGCAGTATCCAACTCATTTTTTGAACACGTGGATTTTTGGCTCTCCAATAGCGAAAACTCTCACCAAAACTAATTCTCTTCAGTCAAGCCAGTCTGCTAAGAGTTGGGCTTTCTAGCGTGTGCTGCATTTATCATCGGAATTTACTCTTCCAAAAATGTTTCTTTCTCAAAAATTTGTGTCTTCTATCGAAAACTCAATCCTTAGCTGCGGTTGAGGTCACGAACAATTGCATATTCTCTCACCTTAGCTTCGTCCAAAAACATCAGAGTGTAGCCATATTTCCCTAGTGGTGAATCAAACATAGACCAATACATAGAACGCATTGACAATTTCATTTCTGAGATGCCCCACGTAAGCC